TGGTAAGAAAACAACCAGCAAAAACCCCATAGAACTTCTCAAAATATTGCTCATCAAACATACTCTCACTTCCAGGCGTATGTTTGGAACATAACAAGGGGTCTGAAGATAGTGGATCATGTTAAGTTCAGGCTGAGTACCTGATTTGTTGGCTGTTAGGTGAGCTTTGTCCTAATAACACAGCTTAGTGTAGCTGCTTTTATCCTTTTCTCTGTGACCTGCTCCAGCTATTCTTCCAAATAGCAGAGACAGGAGATGAAGCTCAGATTGAGGAGATGTACAGATCCCAGAGGGAACATTGGGCATGGAAAACCAGGCAAGGCACCCAACTGTGCAGAGCTTGAAGGATGCCCCATCATGTCTGGGAAAATTCTTGGTCTGTCCTACTCTTTTTTTCACAAATGATGTGTTGTTTCTAGGCTTGAAGTATCTTGTTTGCAAAATAACATTTGAATTTTATGGTACAATGTAAATTAGCAGCCTACCAGTGCTGGCCCAGGTAATTCTCATCCTGAGTTCACTGCCCCTTTTTATCATCTGAACTCTTCTACTATAAAAGGGTGTCCAAACATTAAAACTCATTCTGACAGTACAGTTGGACACCTTCAGCAGTTCAGTTCAGTGAAATGATTCCCTGACTGGATCTGCAGTAAATGGTCCTTAGTTTGCTTTATTGCAAATCTCTAGCTCTTTTTAGCTTCTGGCTTGGCCAAGAGAACGACTGGAAGACCTGTCCAAATTTTTCACATCTCCATCATGTTTTCTCTGTTGCATGTTTGAATGGCTGAACTTGTCTTTAAAAAAACAAACTAAACCAAAAAAGCTGACAGGGTAGTGGAAGATGAAATGGTCATGAGACCAACATCTTCTCTCAATCCATCATAAAGCAAAGCCTTTCTTACCACTCTTTGATGTGTTCTTAGGATCATAAATGGCAGAGATTTAGAGGATTATCAGAGGCAGGATATGATTGCCCTTGGATGCTCAGCAGAGAAGATGTTGGATATTAAACTGATAGTGTATGTAATCTCTGCCAAAAGACCAAGGAGAATTTTGTCTGAGCATCCCTGTGTTATCAACAGCATGTGAAGTTCACTTTCATGTCTACAGAATGAAATAATTCCTTCACATATGAGTAAAAACAAACATTGGGGAAAATTGCAGAATATTTTGTTCTGCTCCAGTCAAATCTGTTTCATCCAAAATGTGGCATGATGGGATAATGAACTTCTCTGTTCTTCTACACCATACCTGCACTCTGTAAAAGTCAGAGGGTTTGAGAAACTTTCAGAAGTAGAACATTCACTTAAATTAATTCTGATTTGCTCTGGTTTACAATACCTTCATGTCATGGGCTGGTACTGTGCTGTCAAGGATAATTCATTGCCCTTTGCCTTAGCAGAGGACTCAGTGCCTGAATTTTTCAGAAGGTTGGAACTGGGGACTCCCTGCACCTTGTTACTACTTTATTTTTATTGTGGTTTGCGTGATGGCTTTATTACAGTACAGCCAGGGGTTTGATTTGCTGGACCAAACATTAGTTTTAACAAGTCAAATTATCATTGTTCTTTCAGTTGTGCAGCCAAAGGAGTTTATTATTTTAAGTGCCTGATTACTTTAGCAGGTGCTCAGTTAATGGGCACTTCACTGTGTTATTTCATGTTTTTAGGTAGGGTGCAAAAAGCTCATTTTAAAAAGTCATGTTTCTTGAAATAGCTGTTTTATTTGGTGCAAACCTCCTAAGGGCAACCTTTATATTCCATTTTTTAACACAAAGCACACAAAAATGGCTTGGGAGGTGGAGAGCCAATTTGAGATTATGATGTGGCTGAAGGATTTCTTCCATATTCTAGTTCAGTCCTGAAACCTGGGATTATTCCCCCTTATTTTTTTCTGGAAAATGTAATTTAGAGACCTAAAATTTTAATAAATAAATAATATTTATTAGTCTATGTTTATAAGTACTGAGGGACCTGTGGAAATAAAGGAAAAATAAAAGCATTTATCTTCTGTATTTTGATATGAAATGATGCATTACAAATACCACATAACCTAGTTCCAGGTTATTTACCTGGAGATTTGAACTTTGGGTATCTACTTATTTTGCAGAAGTTGTTATGGGCAACTGTCATTATATTTACCTATAAACAAATAAATGTAATTTGTAATATGGTTGTATTGGCACTGAAAATTTTATCACTGCTACAAAGTTTTTATGCTGTCTTAAGACATCTCCATGTTCTCTCACTTCTTCTCCGTCATGTCTATAAATCTTTCTGGTGGAACAGGTGATTAGTGTTGGTGGGAAATCTGTTTATTGAATCACCAAGAATATTATGTATTCTGTTCATGAAAGTGCAATCACTTTTCATAATAAAAAGGAGAATAGGAAGAAATATCCTCAGCATGGAGGCTGCTGGAAAAGTCAAGGTGTGATGAAGAAGAAGGTAATACATGTAACATTTTGGGGTTTAAGAGAAAGAAGGCCTAAATTCAGCAGTTGTTAAAATCCTGATATAAACAGGCTTAGAAAATATCAGGTTCATGTTTGTTGTGCAGACTGCACACAAGGGTTTTTTACATACTTAATGAGCTTGAGAGGAGGAAGAGAGCAAAGCAAGGAGCAGGATTTAAGTGCAGCAGCTGAGTGCTCTCTACTTTTCTCAAAGTCCCTTTCCTTGCACTGATTCATGTCCATTGCCCATAGCAAAATAATTGAATTTGCTTTTTAAACTGGTTGAATCTCAGATGGGGAAAATGACACTTGCATCTCTTTTGTGACTGTTGATGGGTTTAAGGTAAAAGAGGGTAGATTTAGATTGGATATAGAAAATTCTTCCCTGTGAGGGTGGTTGCCCAGAAGAGCTGTGAATGCACCATCCCTGGAGTGTTCAAGACCAGGTTGGATGGGACTTGGAGCAACATGGGATAATGGCCCAATGTTCCTGCCTGTGGCAGGGGATTAGAACTAGATGATGTTTAAAATGCCTTCCAGCCCAAAGCATTCTGTCCTGATTCTGTGATGTCATAGTTTAGGTCACTAAACTGAGGAAGTGGAAGCCTTGGACTCCAATCCCTTTGGAGAGCTGCACCTCCGGCACTGTCAGAACTGTGCTGTGCCCAGTGCTGCACTGGGTCTAGAGCGTGCTGAGTGAGGGCAAACTTCCCTTTGCCACCAGTGTCTTGGGCTTTTCCTGGGACAGCATTCCTGAAATTGCCTTCTGTCATCTCCTGTGGCTTTGACATTGTACCAGTACCTGTGTGAGAAACGTCCCCATCGAGGCAGGGCTGTGCCTTCCCGCTCCACTCCTCTCTGCCTCCATTTATTCTTCACGTTCTTCAAATTGGGAAATCATATGACAATAAACAGAAATACTCTCAGTGAAGAGAGAAGGGGAAACTGTTGTTTATCTGGTCAGGTGGTTTAGATTAGCAGTGATGCTAGTCTGTATTATGTTACTTTAAATCATAGTGTCCCAACAGGACATAAATTATGAAGATTGTTACAGTATGTTTCATCCAATGTAAGATCAACAAATTGGAATAATTTTTTTAATAGGAAAATCAGTGCTTTGGCAAGGTTATTGTTGAAGAATTTAATTTAACTTGAGCTTTGCTAGCATTATTTCTTAATATATAAAAACTATTTGCATAATGTACGAAGTATAAACATTTTTAGAATCAAAGGCAAGAATGCCTTTTCCAAGATTACATAGAGTGGCAAACTACTTAGAATAGATCAGTGTTTGTGCTTTTGCTGTCAAAAATGTTTGATATAGAGCTGGCAAGCTGGTTTCTTCACTGACATAATTGTAAACAAGTGCTGGGAGACAGAAACAGCGTTCTTTGGAGAACATGGTGTAAAGGTTTGCACGTTCTCCACTGCACATCTAACACAGCAGTTTTACAGCTGCAATAGGAATGTAAATAGGTAACTTTTTTTAGAGTGTAAAGCAACATTGCATTTTTGTGTAAATGATGTATGCAGATAAGTATGGGGGATGCGAGTGGTCAGCTCTGGATTTTCAAAGAACATTGTAAATGTAGAAAAACATTGACAATTCAGTTGGAAATTGGAGTTGTAGGGGTTTTTACAGTTTCAGATATTTCTATGCAGACAGAAATGGCATCTCAGTCCATGCCACAGTGTCTTTAGTATTATTCTCCATCCTTTCCCCTCATTAGTATCCTTCAGAGTTTAGAGCACTGCTTTCCCCAGTCACAAGTGATGCTGTGGAATAGGAGGGTTGCCTCTGTTCACAATATTTTCCTGCTTGAGCTATTAAAGAGGAGAAAACCAAATTTCTACCAGTGGTGTTCACCTTCAAACTCTGTTGGCTACCCATGCCAGGATGGGGTGGAATGGAGACAGCAGGGAATTGTAGGCACAATGCCTGATCTTCCTTGTCCATGCCTTGAAGCTCAGCATAGAGATGTGGGACATGAGTAACCTGAGTTTAGCTCTGTTTTGGTGCATGATTATTTGCATTTTTAATTACTGTCCCACTGTTCATGGATTGATATTAAAAAGGGGGGGAGCAATAAGAAGATGTTCACCTGATTGATGTTGTGTATGAATCCAGACACAGACAAAAAAAAAGGAGAAAAATATCTATTGCTATGTGGATCCAGTGTCCCTGAGGGTGGTTCAGGCAAACTGATGATGCCAACAGAGAAGAATCCCGATATGGGCATGTGGTTTTGGGAATGAATACATGTCCTTCTGTGCTGCCATCACCTTCATAAATGTTAGTTAGATTCCTCTTTTTTTATGTTTAACTATGTTGTCATTTTCAGATAAAGAGTGTAGCTTTGTGATTTATGCATATTTATGTGATAAAAGTATTTAGTGATGGAGTAAATAGAATCAACATAAAGTCCAATTTTTTCCTGAGAGCACAAGAGAAAATGTCATGAGAACACTCGTGACTAGTAGCTAATCCTGACTTACGATATCTTGACTTTAAAAAGCTTTTTCCTTTTATCTGCTGGCTTGTTAGGTAGTAATGTTGGCTGGATATGTGAAAGCTTCTGGAGTCTGGGAGTGAACCATAATGATTGATTTTATTGTTACAAGTGTCAAACTACTGAGGAGAATACATGCTGTGCCCTTGGTACTTTTTATTCAGGTGAGTGGAGAGCAAATGTATGAGGTGTAGTCATCTCCTGTGTGACAGTGTCACTGTAATCTGAGTAATTTATTAATTTCCCACTGATAAATGGTACAGATGCAGCCTGGGTGGCAGAGGAAGGGAAGACAGGTAGCCCTCGCACTGCAGAAGGTCAGGGTTAATGCTACCTCCAGCATTATAATGACAGATGGGAGGCAGAAACCTTAATGTACTTGTGATTAACACATAATTTCCTTGGCTGGGTGTCCAGAGGATTTAAGAAGCCCGAGTGCTGATGTCATTTTTTAAAACAAACAAACAAATAAAAAGTGTGCATGGTTATATTGTCGAGCCTTTCAGCTGTTTTGCTTAAATATCTCCACTTTGAGTCAAGTACTGTCAGCTGCTTTCTTCTGGAGATGCATGGAGGTGATCCATCATGGGGGACTTGCAGTGGCTGATGTATGAGCACAACACAATGACCTGTGAGCCTTTGATGTATAACTCATCAAGATAATGTTGGCAAGCATTGTGCAAAAGCAGCGTGTTTAAAAAGTATTAAGATGAATGGATTCCTTGCTTAAGAAGTGTGAAAGGAAGAATAATAGCAGATTAGCTCTGGGATCCTGTGGTTCTCCCAGAACTGTGCAGCGCTGTGTGCAGCAGAGGGGTGGATGGAATTTCATCTTTCCTTCCACTTCTGACAGCAAAGTGTCTGGCCCTGGTTTTCTCTTTCTCTGGCAACAAAAGTAACATTAAGTTTTATTTTGTGATAGTGGATTACATCAATTTCAAGAGCAGCTTTACCAGTCACAAAACATTATGAGATAGCTGAATTCTTTTAAAGTTTACCTTGGGGTTTTTTTCACTTTTTAAGGTTAGCTTGTTTTTCTAAAAGTAACCCTGATTTTTATCTCATGGAGACATATTAGGGCTGCTAGTATTTAAGAAACATTTTAGATGTGAAACACCATTAGTTTTTAGTTCCTTCTTTCATTATCTTAAAGAAGCAAAGAGATGTACCAGCGCACCCAAGGCATCTTGTCTCTGCAGGATTGCTTCACTCCTTACTTACATTGCTCTTCATGGCTCATTGCAGGGACTCTGCTCTCTGCCACCCCTTGGGTGGTGTCATCTACTTATGTGAAGTTCCCTGAATGTCTGGATACTATTTTAGCTTAAATTTCCTAAAAGGGTTAGGTTAAAAATGTGTCTAATATGCCTATTACTGAAAAAACAGAATACTTCATAATATTTACTTCATCAAAGTCTCTTTTAATACTTCTTTATGGCTTCTAGAAAATGCAGAAAACCTTTCTTTCTCCTGTCTTTTTATTTTTGAGGGAAAAATTAGAAAAAGTTCTCATCTGGGGCTGAGGGACTGCAGATCCCTGTTATTAATAGAGAGAAAGTCAAGACTGTGCCGGATCTCACTGTCATGAGTGAAGTGGTTGTCCCACTTTCATCAAGAAATGTGTGATGGTCTGATAAACTCTGCTCACCAGTGCAGTCTTGACAATGATCTTGCACTGCAGACTGCATAATAATTTTCATTATTTTTAATTAAAGTTGAAGAAGTGCAGACTCCTGCTCAAATTAAGGTTGGTTGTGTTGCCGGAATGCGGTAATTACTTTAATTGATCACAAGATAGTTTCCTTGATCACCAATTAGACCAAATTACCGATCAAGTTTCAAGACGTGAAGAAATGTCCAAACTGATTTTGTGTAATAGTGTTTTCATATCTAATCAAACCTAAAGATCTTTTCCTTCCAGAGCCAGTTGTATTTTCCCAAAGAAGGTTAAGGCTCTACAAATATAAAGGTGATTAATAAACAATAGTGTTCCAATTCATTTAATTAGCAAAGGAAGTATTTAAGACCTTAATGGAAATTGTGTTGGTGAAATTGCTGAGTAGAACCATAGCTCATTTTTTAGTGAGATACATTTTGTGTGTAATTAAAGTAAACTAAAATGCAAGGAGTAAGTTGCTGTGGGTAATGTGCAGTGAGGGAGAATGTCTCCGAGCAGAGCAGGGCATGTATGAAGTTGGGCAGGCTTTGTCCTTTACTGTGACACTGGATTGCCCTGGTTGGTTCAGCTGGAGCAACAAGTGGCAGGACATGTCCTGGGTAGAGCCCACTGCTGGAATTTATTCCTTTTCCTGAGTTGGACAGCCTCAAGTTGAGGAGTCTTCGGCAGGATGAACAGTTTTGAACATGTCCATTTTATCCAGCTGGAGACTCTGCTTTCTGCAGGGAAGGGGCAGTGGGATGTCATGTTGGTGCACTGCCTGGGGGGATTTGGTGCTCTACTGATGAGGAGGATTTGTCATCTGAAGTGTGGAGGAAGGTATAGAGAGCAAATTAGTTTATAGAGTAATTTGCTTGTGTAATTCTCTCTGTGTGTTTTTTTTGGAGCAGTGATTATTGTCTCACTATCAGTGACTGTTTGCAGTGTGACCTGGGTCTGTACATGGGCGGGTGAATTCCTGGGATGAACAGATACCAATAGAGCATACCCAAACCTGCTAGGGGGTTTTATAAATTTATTTTAAATTTTTTTCCTTGCTATTTGTTTCTGTACAGGCAGTTTGGTTGCAGGCACATCACTGTTTTAAACTTTTGAGGATATATCTGTGTATAGATTGCTGTGTTGGGAATAGCATTCTTATTAAGACACTAAAAACATTTAAACCAACACTTAATTAAGTTTTCCAAATCATTGCTAACATTGATGCACAACTTGAAGGTTTCTACTTCAAAGCATGCTGCTGAAACATGGGCAAATTTTTGAAAGTAATTGTTCACTCAAAGTAAAACTAAACTGAGCAAGAGCTTCAAGGGAAGTTAGATTTTTCTGAATTTTGGAAAGCTTTTAGGTCAAAGAAAAAAGGCTTTTTAATTGCTGACAGTTTGGTGATTTCCAAATGACAAACCTCATTGGAATGATTTTCTCTGATTATAACATTTGTATTCATTTGACTGGCAAAGCGACCAACAAAGTCATTCTTCATCCAGGCACCAATTCTTTTTTTTTTTCCTTAAAGGTTTTTGCAATTTGTGAGAGGGAAAAAGACTTGAAACTATTATCAACCATTATATGTTATTCATTGACCACATGTTTGTTTGAAATGGCCATCGCTTGGTGGAATGCGGGCTATGTACATTCTCTTCCATAAATTAGCACTAAAAACCTACCTAAATCAGGTATGGTTTTGTGGAGCTTGTTGTATTATAATCTGAACCAGACTGTAATGTGGATGTTCCTCCAGCTTTGCATGTTAATTCAGGTCCTGAACCCGATGGATGGAGCTTGGTATGAACAAAGGCTGATGCCTGCATCCTGCTCACGCTCCCAGGCCCGTCGGGCCCCACTGCATAATTACAGTCTTGATTTGCATGGACATTCTAATTTTCTTTATAATGCAGTGATTTGCTTCTAAGTATTTTGGCAAGGGCCTACTATTATTTTCCTTTTGAGCCTATGATAAAACTTTCATCCTGGGGGAGCATGTAGGGACAGAGGATTGGAAAACCCTTTTTAACTCATTTAGAGGGAAAATATATCTCACAAAGCAGAGGGGCAGGCCCACCTGCTGCCTTTTCCTCCCCAGTGAAATAAATAGCAAAATGGTTAAATGGAGGGATGTGTTTCTGGGAGCAGTGTTGGTCATACTGTGGCATGGTGCTTAATTAGAAATGGCACATTTCTAAGAGGTAGTAGAGGATGGAGAACTTGGGATGGATATTTAAAATCCCAGTTTTCAAATCCCAATATTTAAAATCTCTGCTGATGTCAGGGATAAAAATCACTGCTGGGATGCAATAGCTTTGAGTCCTGAATGAGCTGAATCCCATTGAGCAGGATGATTTACCAGGTCTGCAGGGGGTCATTTCAGCTATACTGGGAGGTGCACCAGTGGCATGAGAAGTTCAAATGCCTCTTTAGCACACACAAAGCCAAGGTGCAGCCATCTGGGGCATCTTGAGGAGATTTTGAGATTTTGGAGTGAATCTTGCCAATCCACTGCCAGTTCTGGCAGGTGGACTATTTTCCTCTTTGCTCTCTCTTTCCCTAGGCTTTTGGATTTATGACACGTGTTGCTCTACAAGCAGAGAAGATGAATCACCACCCGGAATGGTTTAATGTCTACAGCAAGGTAACGTGTTCACCAGACCCAGTTACTCACACAGCGGTGGAGTTAAGGAGACCAAACCACTGGCCCATTCTCTCTGCCTTTATTTGTAGCTTTTCTATAAGGTAAGGGAATGGGAAGTGTCTCTATAAGAGATTTGAGATTTTAAAGAGATGCTGAAATTGTGGTGAGGAATTAATAATGAAGCTCTTTGCGCCTGCTGCCAGCTGTATGGTTGGGGTCTGTGGCTTCACCTCTCTGACTGAGATCTAAAAATAAAACAGAAGCCCTTAAACTCTTATTTAGCCAACCTGAATAAATTACTGTTTTAAAACTACTCACCAGCTCTCATTCCTGTCTGTGCAGCAGGTCAGGAACTCAGTGGTGTAGGGTAGCAGACTGTTGGTACCTAAATGGGAGCCTGGCAGTCTCAATTTAGATTCGATTTTTAAAAAATTGTAGGCTCCTATGTCTCAACATAGCAGCTTATAAAATTTGTTTATAATATTACCTAACTGGTGGTGGTCTCGTATTTACAAGGGTGGCAAGGATTACTGCAACCCTTGAATGAAAGGTGCTGTGTGAAGGGAGAAATTATTGCTCTCCCTTCAGCTTTATTTTCTAATACTTCTCATTGCATCGTATCACATTGTTTGTTGTAGCATTTCATGAATATATGGCAATCCCACTAAAAATATCCTGAAAGGACAAGTTGACAAGCATCCTGTAACTCAGCCACCACCCCCAAAGCAGGACATCCCACTTCTCCCTGCAGCTGAAGCTCCCAGCAGAGACTCTTCCTCATCAGCCCCTCATGTCATCCTATTCAAGGGACATTAAATGATCACTGTAAAAAAAACCTGATCACCCACTCTTCCTGATTTTCTTGGATTTCTAGAATATTCAGAATTTGTGTTTTTTTCCTTTTGAGTCTTTCTAAAATCTCAGTGGAAGGCAAGACAGAATAATACCCAACTTGTCATGTGGCTCAGTCCAAACAGACCTGTGTTGCAGCTGTGTCACCAAGACTGTTTTTTTTTGTTTTTTTTTTAAATTAATCTGCAGCAAGCTTAAGAATTTTTTCACCGCTGGGATTGTGGTTCTTAACAAAATGTGAGCCCCTGACTCAGCTCTTGGCAGCTTGGTCACTGGCTTGGGTTCTTCATGAAACTGATCCATGGAATTTAAATGTAAAGAGTGAATGATTTAATCAGACACCTCTTCTTGGATGAAGCCCAGGAATGGAAAGCCTATGTTATTCTGCAAAGGGGCTTTTATGATGAGATTCCAGGCTCTGTAAAGTCTCCTCACTTACAGCATCTTCTGGTTTACATGAGCAGGGAAGGTCCAGCTTGGTGCTTGCCAGGAGCACCAAGTAAAACCAGCTCACTATGGAGACACACAGCATTCACAGTGAACTGCTGTTCAGCCTATGTGTCAGAGTTTAAGATGCTTTTCTCTTTGTAACCTCTTTCTTTTCCTTTGTGATAGGTTCAGATAACTCTGATTTCCCATGACTGCGGTGGGCTGACCAAGAGAGACGTGAAGCTGGCTCAGTTTATTGACAAAGCTGCTGCCTCAGTTTAACCATGATGTAAATAGCTTTAATACAGTGTCCACCTATATTTTGTGTTTAAATGGGATCCCTCTTTCCTTGTAATCGTGATTTCCAAAACCCATAGAGAGAAGATATTTTGTAAAAGCAGTAGCTGAGCTTTTCTGACCTTCAGTACCTTGGTCTTGAGACCCCTTTGGCTGCCTGTGCTTGTACTTTCCCATTGCTGGCTCTGCAGGAGGATGTAGTGGATAAACCAGCAATAAATAAGTTTTGAACAATGCTTTTTTAAAAACTAAACTGAGCTGGAATAAAACCAGGAGCCCACCTATGTGTGTTGGTGTTCCCCAAGCCCACAGGGACTGGTGGCAGCTGCCATATGATGTTCTGCCACGCCTAGCCACTTCCCTCTTACAGATTTGTACATCTCTGCACTTCAAACAGCGTAAGAGCAGCCCAGCCAGGCTTGGTATCATCATCTCTGCCAGTGACGAGTGCAGGGATACTGGGAAGAGCAGTGCAAGCTGCTGCTGGTGTGTCCTTGGAGTTGAAGCTCAACTGGCAGGAACAGCTGTATGCAGAGTTACTGCTTGAGAACTTTTTCCCATCTAAGAGTATAGAATCACATAACCACAGACTGGTTTGGGTTGAAGCTCATTTCAACCCCCTGCTGTGGGCAGGGTCACCTTCCACTAGACCAGTTTGCTCCAGGCCCCATCCAGGCTGGCTTGGACACTCCCAGGTTCAGGACCGGATCTTGGAGTCGCTGGAAACTTTAGCGCTGGTACTGCAAATAAAAAAAAATATCCTGGTGAGCCCCCAGCTCCCACACCATTAAATGAAGCATGTGCTTGGCCCGGTCAGTGCTCAGCACCCTGCAGGACTGAGCCACTGTTGGTGTTGTAATGCTCCAGTACCTGCTGGATTAGGCAGGGGGTGGCTTGGCCAAGTACCCAGAGCCCTGGCCAGGGCTGCCGGCGGTGAAGAAAGCTGCATTAGCAGGATTCTTGCTAAGCTGGGCTAGACTGAAGCTATGCTTACCCACTTTTTATTTTCATACCTAGAATTACTCATTGCAAACATTGTTGCAGATCCCACTGACAACGTTTAAAATAATTTCCTCCGTGGTTTGAATGTCTTTGTTTTTATCCTATGATCCTCCCCGAGACAGATTTCCAGTGCCGGCAGGGAGGTTTCATTCTGCTTAAAGCTTGCAGGAGGGCCTCTTCCCCTGCAGTTCCCCTGCTGAATGTCCCCAGCATGCTCTGTCATGCCCTGTGAGCAGCTCCGGCTGCGGCGCTCCCGGGAGATTGACACCTCCGAAATGCCGGAGCGCATTGCTCAGATGACACCGGCGGCACAGCCACCAGCTACCGAGAAGAGAGATGCACCAGTGCCAAAATCTATATCGGGAGTACATGCGAGGTGTGTGGTCTCTCAGATATTTTGGGATGCAAAATGCCATGAACTGCCACCCAAGTGACTGTTGATAAAATAAGAAAGATATTTTTTATAAATCCTTAGCAAGCACCATCGTGTGCTAATTGGTCACATACAGAAAGAAAGATGTTGGGGTTTATTATCGGTAACACTGCTTGGGATATGAAGTTAATACCTAAAAAGACCCAAATTCAGACTATGTGCTCAGCTGTTCTTTTCTCACAAGTGCCTGTTCCCAGTGAAGTGGAGGATTTCCCTGATATGGTTTGAAAATGGTCAGTGTTGTGAAGAGTGAATAAAACAAAAACAAACAACCAGGTTGTGATGTCTCCTGTTACCGTGGGGAAGTGAAATGAGCTTCACCCAACGTTTTGACAACATCTCTAATGAACTGTGGAAAGTCTGTTGTTCAGAATTGATACATAACGCATGGGCTTTGAATAAAACCAATAAAATCAAATTCCTCCTTTGTAATTTGTTTCTTTATTATTGTACATATATGACAGAACTGTTTAGTTTGAAGATAAATTTAAGATAAATAATATTTAGTTACTGGGAGGTCTTTGGTTTAGAATATTGATATTTATTTACATACTCTGAGGAAAAAAATCCCCATCAACTAATTCAGCTCAGAGAACTGCACTGTCTGGCTGTGGCACAAAGCTGTGGTGGGGGTGTTGAGAATCCTGACCAAAGAGGCCAAAATACTCAGGAATGAGGATGGCTTTGAAATGCTTCAAGTGTTATGGTCAGTGCTTGTTTAGCCGTGATTTTAGTCATTTAGCCATAATGTAGCCACTTCGTGATAACTTCTGGGGCATCCCACAGACCTATAAGCAAAGTGAGCATTGCTGTGAAATGTAAATAATAATATAAAAATAGGACAATTGAGGAAGGGATGCACAGTCTCTCTGAGCTGGAACTTCACAGCAAACTTGGACAGCAAGGATTTAATGGCAGATGCTGCTTTGGGGCCAGGAAACTCAGCCTAAGGCTCCTCTTGAGCATAATTTGATCTGCTCTGAGCAAAAGTAGCTAGTGTCCAAGGTTTGGGCCTTTCCCAGCTGGTGGCATTGCTGGAGCTGTGCTGCTCTGTGAAGATAGGGCTCACCCAGCTGCCCAAAGTGCAGCTTCCCCTGCTGTGCTGGCTTCTCCTCCCAGGCAGCTTGGCACCTGCTCCCCAAGAGCCCACAAAGTTGCACTGTAAGGCAGAGTGTTGCTGCTCCTGCAGTCACCTTTCCCTGTTTGCTTCCAGGCTCAGATCACCACCAGGTTAAATATTCTTCTGGAGTGTTAGGGGTTTTTTTTGCTTTAAGGCTGATTGTGGCTTGAAATATTTGGATATCCCTCAGAAACAGTCTTCTTGCCAGAAACTCCCCTGTGCTGAGACTGATACAACTTACTGTGTCAGCCCCACCAACCTTGACCATGGTGTATGGGAAACACTGGCCCTGGGAGACCCTCCAGTGGTGCTCTGTGGTCACAGGAAATTAAAAAGGAAAAACTCAAGGCTGGGAGAGCAGAGTAAGAGCTATGCCTACAGTGTGCTCTGTGTTGGGATCACTGCTCAGCTCCTGGAAGGCTGTAGATCAGACCTTCACAGCACCAGCTCTGAAACAGGGCCAGAGAATAATCCTTTTCTTTCCCCACAGTGGGAGCTCAGGTCCAGTAAAATGTAAAAATCATATTGAAATGAGAGGTAGTGGCATCAGATATGCTATGGGGCTCTGGGAATAGGGTCCCACAGCTCTGCAGGAACACATTAGAAAGCAAAAGTTTGTGAGTTACGGCTCAGTCTGGATGCAGTGGCATTCCTCCTGCCCTTCCTCCTCCTGGCTGCCCAGACTGGTGCTGGAGTGGCTGAAGAAGAGGTGGGTTTTCTGTTAATTAACCTCTCTCACCTCAGACAGTTTGGACATGAGAAGGCTGACGAGGACATGTCCTCACCCAGCCAGCTCTCCAGGCTGGAAGGATAGATTGATGTGGTTACTTTTAATATGTCCATGACACATCCCTGGCTCCAGGATGGGGCTGGAGGGATCACAGCATCCCTTGGGATGTGTCTGGGCTGTGGTGCTGGTCATCACTGCCTCTTCCTTGGCCTTGTCTGGAGCCTTGGGCATTAAGCAGAGTAAAACTACAGGGTGGATCCCATTGGAATTTTTGGTTGGTTTATGTGCACCAGATGGCTCAGTGCAAGGTCAGGGGTGCAGCATCAATGGATTTGGATGATGACCACAATTTTGCCCTTTCCCTGCTCCAGCACTGTCTTTGTGCTGTCTTGAGCCTGCCAGGTCCTCAGCCGTTGCCTTTCTCTCCTCTAAGGGGCTTTTCAATCCTGCAAAAAACAACTTTGAAAGCTTTGCACTTTCCACAGCTTCTTCTAGGTATGTGCATTTCCTGTGGCCCTTTCAGCCTCAGATTAATGAGGGGATTGTCAATTGAATGAAGTTAATGAGTTCTTCTGCATGAGCTAGTTTCAGTTTTTCACCACTGTTTTCTCCAAGAAACAAATATTTGCGGCTTGCTCAAAGTTAAACCTTGGGAGACGTGTGTGTGTCCTGGAACAAGTGCTCACAGAGTCCAGACTTGCTGACTAACCAAAGTAAATTGGCAATTGTTAATGCTCTTTCTCCTAAAGATCCAAGGCTAGGAGTAATCATGGATGTGAGCTATCCCACTGGCATGTTTACATAAAAGCTGATCTGTCACAGAGCTGGATTCTTTGGTGAGGAACTGGCAACTCATTTGCAAGTGATCTCTGGAAAGAGCTCAGGAATGGCTGCCAGAGGTTCTCTGCTCAGAGTCAGCTGCTCCACATGGACTGCAGGGATGCTGGAGCCTTGGGAAGGGTCTCAGTGAGAGCAAAGGTCTGTGCTTGGGCTCCTGCACCACTTCCAGGCATGATGGGTACACAAAGAAGGGAGGATGACCCCCTAAAGCTCAAAGGCACAGCTCTTCTTCAGAGTGCTCAGCAGTTTTTGCTGTTAGCCAGGTGACAGGATGGGGGGATGCTCTCCATCTCACTGCTGGCTGCTCCCACCTTGGCATGGACACAGGCTGTTCCCCTGGGATGCCAGGAGGGATGGTACCCATGTCCACACAGCATCACCACGGCTGATTTCCTTCTCCTGATTGGAGCAGGTGTGTGCCTAAACTGCTCAGCAGTGCAAACCCAGTCAATTAAGAATAATCAGCCTGTGCTAACGCTGGAATTTTGTCTATCCAGGAATTTTCCCCAGCATTTTCCTATGTGATTTCTGCTGGAAGTGACCTCATAAGGTGGTGATATCAAACAGCAAGTTCCACCCTCCCAGCTGTGCCAAGAGTCACTTGGAGAAGCACCAAGCTGTTTCATGGAACCATTGTGAAAATGGCACATGGAGCATCCAGATCCTTCCTATGATGGATGTGTTGCCCCCAATTTTCTTACTAGATCTTTCTAGCATTTACTTGAGGCTATTGCAAGGTGTGTTCCCATGTGCTATGCCCTGGAGGGGATGGATGTAGAACATGGGGGTTTGGCCCCTGTCGACACTTGGGGTGGCTGCCAGTTCATAGTCCTCCCCTGTGCCATTGCCTGCACTGTCCCAGAGTCTGTATGAAATGCATTTCAGCTTCAGATCCCCTCACCTGTTTGGTACTTAGCATTCTTAAAATACTATTGTTTGCTCCTTTACTAGGCAGGTCTTTCCCCCTTGTGGTTTTGGCTCAACTGGCTTAAGCACCCTTTTAATACTCAATTTTCACATTGAAAAATCCCTCTTGGTCACACTCCTTGATCTCCTTGTCATACAAAAAACAGCTACTGTCTGGAAACCTCTAAGCCTTAATTGTATATCCCAGTAATATGTAGCCAGGCCTGGCTAATGTCAAGAAAGGCAGTCAGGAGCATCGGAGGTTTGCGAGAGCTCTGGCTGCAGGACCGGCTCCCTGCAGGGAGGCGAGCGGCTCGTGCCAGGCTCCGAGGGGCTGGTGGGGTGCCTGATGTGTGGACAGGTGGACAGGACCCCCACACTGGGCAGAGACCCATGATGGTGACTGTGGTGGAGTGAGCTGCCTCACACTTGAAACGGTCCCTGTGGGCAGAGAGATGTTGTTTTGGGACATTTATGTGAAAATGCTGGCTCAGTGTACAGGGTCTGGCAGCCACAGGCAGCTGTCTGGGCTCATCTCCCCTTCTCTCCAAGTCACAGATCTTCCTTGTTTACACCAGTGAGCTTTTGCTGAAGCTGTATGCAAGTCCCATCCCCTGTTGAGAGAGCAGCTGCAACTTCTTAGAGCCAACTGCACCCTGGGCTGCTTCAAAATCAGCATCAGCAGCAGGCTGAGGGAGAGGACTCTCCCCCTCTCTCCACTCTCATGACACCTCACCTGCAGCACTGTGACTAGCACTGGGGTGCTCAGCGCAGGAAAGATGTGGGCCTGATGGAACAGGTCCAGAGGAGGGCAAGAAGGTGCTCAGAGGGATGGAGCAGCTCTGCTCTGGAGGCTGGCTGGGAGAGTTGAGGCTGTTCAGCCTGGAGAAGGTCTGAGAGCCCCATCCAGTGCCTAAAGGGGCTGCAAAAGAGCTGGAGGGGGACTTTGGGCAAGGGCCTGGAGTGACTGGACAAGGAGGAATGGCTTCACACTGGCAGGTTTAGATTAGATACTAGGAGAGAACCCTTCACTCTGAAAGTGATGAGACACTGGTACAGTTTGCCCAGAAAATTTCTGTCTGTCCCATTCTTGGAAGTGTTGAGTGCCAGGTGGGATGGGGACCTAACCTGATCTTGTGGGTGGTATCTGCCTGTGGCAGAGGGTAAAACAAGATGGTCTTTAAGGTACCTTCCAGTCCAAACCATTCTGGGGTTCAATGATCTCAGATCATGCTCCTCACTGCCTTTGCCCCACATGTCTCACCTGTGGACACACATCCACCTGGAGGGGACAACCAAAGGTTTCCAGACCCTCTGCATGCTCAAGCTCCTCAAGTACAGCAGAGGGATGGGTGTGGAGCTCCACTCAATGGCTTAAGCCACACCAGAGAGGGGGATCCAAACCCAGGAGCTGGGTGAGGCTCTCCTGTACCCAGGTGTTATGGGCCACCTGGCCCAAGAGGGACTGGTGCTTGTATTAGCTTATGAGAAAAGGTGAAAATTAATAATTCCTGGTTTTTTGAGAAGCCCATGGCTTGGCCATTGTATTCTTACACAGTTTCCTTTTCCCTAAAGGAGGGGTTTTTCTTTGTTTGTTTGTTTTTTTTTTTTTGCTACAGCAGAGTAGGCACAAAAAACCCAAACCTATAAAACATAGGTCATGTCCTATTCTTTCTCTGTGTGTATTTTTCTCTCCAGCACACCATCTCCTACTTCATTTTCTCCTGACAACTCTGGAGGTTTATTTTTCAGCAAGGAGCTTATGTGGGCAATGAATGCTCAGCCAGAATTTCTGCCTCTAATTAATTGGCTGGGTAGCCCA